AAAAGTAAATAAATAATATATAAAAAAGTCATCCAATGTTAAAAAAAAAAAAGAAAAGAAAAAAATAAACGAATAATAGACTACTGCCCATGCTGAACTTCCCAGTTTCTATACAAATGGCTTGCAGATAGTCGTCCTACCCCATTACTGGAAACATATACTCCAGTCTTATTTTTATTTAGTTACTGCCCACCTTGCCAAGAAGGATAAACGTACATACACACACACACATACACACACACAATATATTAAGTATATATTATCTATATTAAATATGTTTATATATATATGTTTTTGATTTGCCATAAGGTGTGTGTGCCTGCTGGAGAGAGAGACAAAGAGAGGAAAAGTGAGGAATCACCCCCCAGGGGGGATGGCCACACCACAATCCCTTGTCTTTCATTCTCCTCTCAGCTTTTGGGCACACATCCACACGCGCCTGGTGCAAGTTTCAAATCACCAGATTCAGACTGCAACTGGCCATGTAGGAGGTCCAGCGCCTTAACCGCCATACCACCAGAACAAGGGATTATTGAGCTGATCAAACTGATGTCACAATCTGTGTGACAACCTTAAGATGGGTCTTTAATTTTGTTGGTTACTTCAGCAAAGTCACTGGGATCAAGTTTCCAGAGGTTGTGGTACAAACATGCTGAGAAACAGTATCTCCTCCACTTACAACGTGCCTGTGCAGGACTCTGTGCTCATTTTATTTTTAAAAATACAGTTCAAACATTTCATTTTTAATAAGGTGTCAACGTTTACACAGGGTGTTAGGGTAAAAAAAAGCTAACACGTTGCTATGTGGTCTTTCCAACACCGAATGTGAATATATCTCATAAAAGTCACACGTAGGCCCATTCCTAGCACTCCTAGGATGGCAAATAAATAGTTATTACTGTGCCAGTGTAAGTGGGGTCTGGTTAATGTTTCCCGAGTCAGATGTACAGGCTCCCTCCTCATGTAAATCATTTCAAAGGTTAGAAGCTGGTTCTGATAAAATACTGCCCACAAGAAATTAAAATGAAAGCGTAATATTACAATTACGTGGTCATTCAATAGTTCTCCCTGGGTTCCGCGTCTTCTCCAGCTCAGCATCTGATCATGAATACTGAGCAGGATTTGCACATGCTGGTAATTTAAAGCAATCAGTTCTCACCTAAGCGAAACAAACTGCTCGAAAATTCTGTTTCTTTGATTTATTAGGAATCCAAATCTACCTATGGACACATCTTCTCCTTTATACACTCTTTGGGAAGTACCAGAGGACTTTGAAACTGCCTGGTTCTACTAAGTACCGTCAAGCGCTGAATATTGAGTGATTGACTTCTAGCCCCCTTCCATTTCCTCACAAGCCACACCAGGAGATGCACTCAAAAAGACTTAGAAGAAATTCACATCACTGTCAGGATACCCTTTATTTGGTGTCCTTCTACAACACATTCCTTAGTAACAGAGAAAGAGCAAGAAACGGGTGATGTGCCTTATTAGAGAATTCCTTTTCCACTATGTATGAGTGATTTTTTTTTTACACTAAAAACATTCAGAAAGAACCCAGAAAATTCTACAAATGTCTAAAGGCTTTGGTTCTGGAAAAGGGAAAAACAATGTTATTCTGAAAGAGATGTATTTCACCTCCACACCCTAATTCTGTTTCCAGATCACCAGGTGAAGTGGACTGCAGTTCTGCACCTGGATATAGCTAAGACCCACAGAATCCCTGCTCATGTACTTTTACAAGAAAGAGTGGGGCTGAGCGTGGCAGCATTTCTCCATGGACTTAATCGGATACCTGTGTGCCAGGTGGGCCACGTGGCTGAGTTAGGGCTCTGTGGAAGGAGGGTAACTGGCTATGGCAGTCACCACTGCACACTCCCCGCATCCTTGACCTTCACCTGACCCTGGCCTTCTGACTGAGGACAACCTCGACCCCATAACAGATTAAAGGAAAGTAAGACTGGGCTATTTCGGTCAAGTAACTCTTCCAACTATTTCCCACAAATGCACGGACACCTCTCTGCTAAGCACTTGGGGAGGAGGACACAACTCCTCAGTGACCTTGGCCCGGAGTAAACCATCCCCTCATCCCCCTTCATGGCCTCAGCTGGATTAGAAGGGCATTCTGTGGCTTCACTGACCTTTGGCTATCTTTTCACTGTTTTGTGTTCCCTTTTGAAGCTACTTATTTCAGCTAGAAGAGCCTCCTGGACGGTATGACTAGTCCCCTCTTTCCCATCAAAGGCTGGCTCTGAGGGGAGTCACACAGGGTAAGAGGGGAACCACAGGAAGCACTCTTTAGAACCTTTTAGGATTTAAAGGCCAGGAGAACCCAGCTTCACTGGCTAATGTTCCCTGGAAACCCAAATAACAACAGTAACATTAGGATCAGTTGTTGCTTAAAGCGTTCGTGCTGCGAACAAGACAACGGGTATCATTTGATCACAGGACCCAAGATCAAATTCTCTACTATTCACCCACTGGATAGTTTCACACTGAAGTAGCTATTTGATGTTATTTTTAAGAATGCCAATTAATTATAGAAATGAATTTTCCACAGTGTGGCATCTGACTTCATATCTTCTTAACCCAGAGGAAATGTATTTTCTTACAGCAACCACAAGTTTCATAGAAACCTTTGTAGCTCAGTTTTGATCCAAAATGAAAATTCTTACCTGGGCTAAGGAATGATTGATTCTGACTGGGAGTCCTAAGTTGAATGTGAGAGAAGAGAAGTTGGGCGAGAAGGTTAGCAGAGTGTTCGGAGGGGCTCATCGAGAAAGGGGGAGTAAAGTCAGGAGGGCAAAGACAGGAGCACAATGATGGTGTTCACCACAGTTCACATACTCCCCTCCCAGGGACCAGTCCCCACTCCTTAAGAGCATCTGAATTTTGCTCAGGGAGTAATAGTCCTTCTCAGACTGTGTGCAGCTAGGGGAGCCACGTGGCAGAATTCTAGTCAGTGGATGAACTGAACGTCTTGAGAAAGCTTCATCCTCCTGATCTAGACACTGCGTCCTGTTACTTGCCTCTCCCTCCCTCTTCCACTTAGAAAGCAGACATGACACTCAGCAGTCCAGTCACCACCTTGCAACTAGGAGGCAACAAAAGCCAAAGGACAATGGGTAAAGATGGTGGAAAAGAAATACCAACAGAGCATGAGTTCCTGATAATATTATGGACTCAGTCCTGGAGTGCCTACCTCTCAGGCTTCTTCTACGGCCCGTCACTGTTTGTTGGGGTTTCTGTTATTTGCAGACAAATGCACACCGCACTAATACACCAGTATCCACTGACGATGAGACTGAAAAGGATGGGGATGATTCAGTGAGGACGGAGGGACAAAGACTAAAGGGAAAGGGCCAGTGGGATAAATCTTACACAGATCACACAGTGGACCTAAAACAGAACTTCATTCCTTCCTGCAGGAAGATATGAGTCTCGACTAAAGAATCAATGTGTCATTAAGTCCAAATGCAGAGATGCCCAGTGCTCAAATTGGCTATCTAAAATTTAAGTCTGTCCTTCTGTGCTGTGATCGCATGTATGGAAGTGCATGCTTATACATTAAAATTGGACGTTTTGCATCCTACAGAGAAGAGAATGGAACAGATTTAGAATCAATTTAGTATCTCCCTTGCAATCCATTTGGAGGAGTTCCCACTGAGAACTCGTATGCCTCATCCTCTCCACAGCCGTATCTGATAAGACCTGAGAGGAAAAATAAGTGGTAACACCGGGGCGCCTGTTTGACTCTTGCATATGCTACTTGGAGATTAAAGCATGCTATGGCAAGCTGGGAGCATACAGGCTATAGCCCATGGAGAGTGCCAGCCTGTTCAATATTGAAGAATGCATAGGTAACTGCAATAAATTAACGAAGCAAATGCAATGGGGATGCAAATCAGATGGAGTACGTGTACCCTCAAAACAAAGACGCATCCTTTCACACGAGGCGAAATCCAGAGTAGCATTAAATGCCCCCGTAGTTAATCGAGCAGTCCCAAGATGCCAGTTTTGCACGGAGAAAGAGTTTCTTCACACTCATCATGGCGGTGCTCCTGACGTCAGTTCACGAGCTGATGGAAAAGCAAAAGGGAGCCTGAGGACAGGAGCGAGAAATGGGACGGTCATGAGTGGACCCACTGGCATACTTGCAGGTTTCACTGTGTTCAAATTTAATTTCTCTTTGTTTTCCAACAAAGTAAGTGCAAATGACTTCAGTAGGATTCAGGAACATAGCAGCAAGACTTCGGGAACCAATAAATAAGGACACTGGCCCCCAGATACCCTGCTGCCTTTTGGACTCAAAGCTTCACATGCGTTCCTCAGTCACAAACATCAGCCTGGAGCGGAAGGGGTGAAAGTGTCTTGATTCAGCGTCCATGTTCCACGTCCTTGCACAAACCACATCTTTTACCCCCGCCCACATACCCCCAGCACACAGTAAACTCACTGAGAAACCCAGCTTGAATCTCACAAGCCGCCAGAGCTCTAAAATGTCTTCTCATTGATGGTTTTTGTTGTCGTTTTTTAAGAAAAGGTTTTATCCTTCTTCCCCTGTTTTCAAACAAAGCTTTTGTTTCTGCTGCCCCCAGCTCATGCTCTTTCAGTGGGTTATAACATATCATTTGTTTATTTCTTTTATAATGACACAGTCAGTGTTTTTCTCAAAATAACTGCCACCTTGTTGCTAATTAAACATGATGGATTCGGGGTCCTGGTTCGCCATCTGGGCCATATGTCTCAGAACATCCTTTTTTGTGATGATGCCAAGAAGTCTCCTGCAGCAGGAACAAAACAGAGGGAAGAGGTCATCCTTACAGTCCTGGCTCATCTCTGCCCTAAACCCCAGTGCCTTTCCACCCGAGCACGGGGATGGATGACATCTCCCTACCTCCCCTGTGGCTGTGGCTGGGGGGGGGCCAAGGGCCAATGGCCTGTGGGTGCAGTTGAGAGACACTGCTTCCAGTCCTCCTACACACTCTCCCACATTCCCCTTTTCTAATCTGGTGGCCACAGGCAGAGGAGCCAGTGAAGAACTCTGAGGTCACAGAGGATTGCCTTAGGAGCTACCAGATTCAAATACCTGTGTCCTTGAATGACTGTGTGGTGCAGAGTCTATACCTGCTGCAACCCACATCGAATGTGACAATGCAAGAAAAATAAACTTTTATTACATTAGGCCACTGAGTCGCAAGTTGGTTTACTATGGCAGTAAACCTGCAGTGACTAACACACACTCTTAAATTTCAAGACGATGATCAATTAAATAAGAGCTTATGAAAGTCATTATGACCACGCCACAGAAATTCCAAGTACAAGTCATGTGAAGTATGAAAAAAAAAAAAAAAAAGGAAAGAATAAGGTAAAAATTGACTCTTATTTTTAAATTCTATTTTACTGGAAGGGTACAGTTTGACATTGTTCATCTTAGACTAGTGACATTTATGTAAATTGCCTCCTCTTCCAAAATTCCATTGCTTTCAACTTATAAAAACAATTCTACTTACTGACTGGGGTCCCTTGCACAGGGCCACCTAGACAGCACACCACACAACCCCAGGGAGCACTGTTCACAAACACTACAAGGTACATAATGCCCATGGGTTATGCAGCACATGTTTATACACTCCATCGCAGCAACCCTCGCTTTGTTATTTCATAAAATACTTAGCCACCTGTGGGGACAAATCATGCCCCCTGGGGAAGCGAAAGGTCTGAAAGAAAGACATGTGCAAATTTCTTGGGCAAAAATGAAGTTCTTCAACTGGACATTAGAACATTGCTCTCTAGAGCGCCCACCACAGGTATACAACTTAACTCAGGTTATTGCATGTTCCTTAGTAGAGGACAAGGCCTTGGCTTTGCTTTTTTTTCTTTAACTCAATCACTCTTTCTCTTTTCTTTCTTATTCTTTTTATTTATTTATTTATTTTCCTAGAGGGCACATATGCTCACCAGAAAGACAGAGAGAGAAGGAGAGGACAAGCACCCTCTATGGAGAATGCTCACACTGCAGCCCCTTCTCCTCCATCTCTCCCTCCTTTTGGGATCTTGAACACATGTGCACATGTGTCCAGTGTGTTTCTTAAGCCATCAGGTTCGGGACTTGAACTACAGGGTTGCCCATGTGGGATCCAGCTGCCTTAACCACCAGACCATGGAGCTGGCCCTATTTTAACATTTTTTAAGCTTTCTCCAGTTCTTGGCCAAAACAGATGCTCAGTAAGATGTTGATTAAGCCAATGTGTCTCTGAAAAAAATATGGTGTGTTAGTGTTTACAAAGTGATGAGAACTCTAACACACACGCAGTACCCTCCCCTATCTATAAAGCCTGGGTTTGTCTCCTTATCTTCACCCTGGAGACCGCATCAAAGATTAGGCACTTACAGCGCCGAAAGCCTGCTCTGAAAGCGGTGACTGCAATGCCTAAAGGTGAAGTTAGCTGCAACAGTAGTGGGGAGATGTGAATTCAGGAGCTGCCTCCAGTTCCTGCATAAATTGTGCCCCAGCCTGCGACAGTAATTAGCACAAGAAGAAAGTCGAACATCAGCCCAGAGGAGGCAACATCAAGTCCAGCGGGATTCGGGATTCGTTAGTGGCATACAACATCCTATTTGATTTAAATCAAGTGCCTGAACTTCCAACCCCTTTGGGAAGCAGTTCAAGCAAACCCACTGAATTATAAACGGCCAGATCTATGACCAAGAACATAATTCAGATCCCAGCAGCTGGGCTTTTTGGAGAAAGCTAGGCCATCCAGGTCCCTGTGAACCTGGGCCTTGGGGAAAATCTGACACCATCTCCCAATGCTTTTCCTTTCTAGAATGGTCATAGGGAACAGCTTTACTCAAATTCGTTCTTAGCCACTGGAGGCGCAGGCATTCTGGGACAAAGACTTCTCTGGTTCCTCATCTGGTCTCACGGTGACCTCGGACCCCAGGCCCTGTGAAATCCTGCAGATGATCCAGGTCAATGGGTTGAGCTCGGGCACTTGGCCATCTCGAGCAGAGAAGGCAAATGGCAGGGAATGCATCAAAAATGCAAGCTGGCTGCGACGTGCTGCCCTGGCTGAATGCCCGAGGAGATGAAAGGCCCCGCAGACAAGGGTCCCTTGCCAGCGGTAACGTATCAGCATCTGTGTTTGTTTAAAATATGTAGAGCGAGAGAGAGTGCGATTTTGCTTTCTCACAGACATTCGGAGCCAATTTCGGCACCCAGATCTTCACAGGAAAACCTCATGGGGCTCCGCGAGGTGTGAGCGGGCGCGAAGGGCAGAGTTCCTGCTGGGGCTGGAAATTCCGATGATAACTGACACTGGAGTATTGTTTTAAAGGAAAGGAGAAACTGCTCTACACTTGAGGGGGCACGGGTGATCAGTGTAACATACTGAGTGTTGGGAAGTCGAGTGCATAAATCGACATCAGAGGTTCTCAAAGTGGGCCCCCTAGAGCAGCAGCAGCTTCACCTGGAAGCTGGTTAGAAATGCAGTCTCGAGCCTCTCCCGGGCCCCAAGCATCAGCAGCTCTACAGTGGGGCCCAGCAGTCTGGGTTTACCTGCAGTTTACTCCTCCAGGCATTCTGATGCGCACTTAAAGTTTAGAAACCACTGGGCTCCTTTTAAATTTACCAGTAGAAATAGGCTCTAGCATCAAACATGGGACTCATGTGTTTGCACCCTATTGATTGCACCCCTCCCCCACTGCATGTGCAAGACACCTATCTGGCTGCAGTCAGAGCTAAGTGAACAGCCGATGAGAGGTCTCTGGGTAAACATGCAAATTTAACCCCTTGCAGAGCCTGTACCTGTGCCCAGGACAGCAGGAAGAGTTGAATGGATAGGATCGTATTGGGTTATCTCTGAACATCCAGTCCAGGGTTGCTCAACTGCAGCACCAGGGACATTTGGGGTCATATATGGGTATGTCCTGTGAGCTGTAAGATGGTCAGCAGCACCCCTGGACTCCCGGGTAGGTGCCAGCAGCACTTCTGCCTCCAGCTGACACACCCGAAATTGGCTCTGGACCTTGCCCTGTGTCTCTGGGAGGCCAAACCACCCTGAGAGAGCATCAACTGGGTCAAGTTAGAATGTGCTGGATCTGGAAATATAAACTACATTAGAGAACAAAGCTCTGGGCCTAGACTACATTGGATACCAATCTCTCCATACCCCACTGCCCTGTCCTGCCCAGTCTGTAAAGGAGTAAAACAGGCAGGTCGGCTTCCCAGGCCCAGGAACTTGGGGCATGCCTCTGAGCCCAAGGAATGGCCTCCAGGGAAGACCATACCTCTTGTGCATCTGTGGACCCTTGATCTTTGCGTTGGTGGTTCCCTGGCTTGTGATAACACAAAAGTAATGTTGTGGCCACAGAGACAATGCCATGGGGTCATAGAATCTCTCAGTTCTCTGCAAATGAGTGTTTGGGAAACAGATTAAAATACTATAAAACAGGGCCGGCAGGTGGTGCTGTGGTGAAGGCAGGGGAGTCCGCATGGCTGACTACTAGGTCTCAGTGGACCCGGCAGCTCGGAAACCATACTGGGCGCATGATGCGTTTGTGCTCAAAACCACAAGAGAAGGAGAGATGGAGGAGAAGGGGTTGTGGTGTGGATCTCCCCCGTGGGGGTGCTTTCTCACGCTCTCTGTCTCTCTTTGGTAAGCACATGAGCCCTCTGGCAAATTAAGGGACAATCTGTGCGTAGTATGACTTTCACATTGCTTAGGCGTGTTTTCATCTGTAAGAAAGTCCAATGAATGCAGAAAAACGCACCCAGCTGCCCCCAGTGACACAGGAATACACACCGTGCATGCACGCACGCACCCCTCAAACATCGACATGCTCCCCCCTCTGATCACACGTGTCAGGAACCGCGCCCACCACACCTGCTGTCACCCCTTCCCCTCCAAGCTCAGGTAACCCTCCTCCATCCCCTACCCAGTACTCACAGACTGCAGCCTTACCAAATGAGGCCCATTCCACCGCCCACTCCAAGGCTTCTCAGGCTGAAGTGGCATAGTAATTGTCATATTCATATATTTCTTAACCTTTTAACATGTGTAACACAGCACTACCATCTTTCTTAGGTTCACATTTTTTAAAAGAATTATTTTATTCATTTATTTATTTTAATTTGGCCAGAGAAAGAGAGAGAGAGAGAAAGAGAGAGAAAGTGAGAAAGCAAGCCACCAGGTCAAAGACATCGAACCATGGTTAGTCATGTGGGAGTGTCCAGCGCCTTAACCACCACGCCACCTGCTGGTCCCCACATTTCTTTTTTTAATGTGTCACTGAAAAGTGATTGAGTGTCGTGTACCTAACTCTATGTCCCCCGCATGCCCTGTGGCTTCTGCTGCATGTTTGCATGGCACTGTGGTTTGGAGGAATGTGTAGGTCACGTTCTGGCAGAACTGCTGGGTAGCAGTCCCATCTGGGTGGTAGGAAAGCCACACTGAGCCCTTCCCTGCGACTCCTCCCGTTCCTGCCTCAACCTGCAGACTCAGCCCAGACAGCGGTCCAGCCCGGAAGAACTTCCCACCTCCCTACATTGCCCTGAGTGACAGAGCTTCCTGCATGTCTCCTCAACACACTCTCAACCTCCTGACACCACCTGTCCAGGGCTACTCTGCCCCAGTAGACCGCAAGCCCATTGGAGGCTGCAGCCAGATTTCGGCCAGGTCTCACTCATCTTCTCCCTAAGTTCAGCCTTGGTACCCATTCTGTCACCATCCACCTGATTACTCACCCACTCCGTGTCACCAGGCACTGCCGGAGCCCCAGCTTCCGGAAGATGTCCACCACTGTCTCCATGGGGGTGTGGTCGGTGACTGTGAAGGGGCTGAGGTTCAGGATGCGCCTCAGCTTCAGGGGGTGCGGGCTGTTGGCCGGCAGCTCAGGGGGCTCCTCCGTGAAGTACATGATGGAGTTGCTCACGATACCCTCCTGCCTCTGTCTGGCATTCTCTAGAACAGGGGTGAGTAGGAACAATAAGCTCCACAAAAATCCCTTGCTTAGTGATTCCTCCACCCTTCGCCTCTCAGAGCATCCCAGAATCCCTGCAAAAGGGATTCAGAGGGCAAACTCACACATGTGTAATGAGGGGCCTCAGCCAAACATCTGTGAAATTGGCATCTCTGAAGCTAATGCTGTGCCAGGATCCCCCTGCTGTGACCAGAGCATTTGCTGCCAAAGTCTTGCAAGATGGGCCTGGCCAAGATGGCTTTTTGGGGGGCAGTCACTGCCCCCTCCTGCATTCCAGGGGCCCTGATGGCCCCGGGCTCTCCACCCTTGCTTCCTAACCCTCCTGTCACCTCATCACAACTGCAGTTTGCCATGACAGGAAACCTCACTTAGCTGCCCAGTGACCTTAATACTTTGTTTTCTACAAGCTAACTTCTCACTGGCCCAAATGGCATTATGAATCCTGAGAGGAACAAGGAACCAATGAGAGCGGTGCAGGCTCAGAGCCCAGAAATGCAGTTCAATCCCAAATACGACCCTTGGGACCAAAGAAACAACCCCCGGAAAGCTGCATTCCCCCATCCCTTGGATCTCCTGTTTTAAAAATGGGCCATTTTGTGGATTTCTCAAAGAAAGACAGTAAAACTGTTATGGTAGCAATTAGCCTATTTTGGTCTGCAGGCAAGGCCATGTGAAAGAAAGATGAAGAAAAGTAGGGTAACAGGAACTCATTAGAAATACAGCTTAATGCAGTGCTAGAAACCCAGGCTATTTTAAGTCACACATGAAATGAATCCATCAGTCTCAAGATATTTCTCCAAGGCGATTTTCCTTCTGTTGGAATTTTAATCTTTCTCTTGGTTCATGGGAAAAGGTTAGGAAAAATGTACAGTGAAGCGTGCCTTGAAATGGATTCTAGTTTCTATAATCTCTTGCCTTTGCGAAGACTGCTATTTACCTGTATTGTTCTTTCAAAACTAAAACTCTGCCTCCTCTCAGGCCATTTAATGCAATCGAGTACTCTAAGGAAAAGTGGCAGCGCTGGGGGGGGAAGTGGAAAAGGAGTGTCTATTTAAAAGAGGAAGCAAGGGCCTGCCGAGAAAATGCCTGCATATTATCTGGGCCAGGTTAGATTTAGTTACATCCTCTTTGATGTACCAAACGACACTGACGCTCCACATCTTCCCAGGTGTAGATCCTGCATGATGCACACAGCACACTTCTCTCCTAAACCAACATGGCTCCATCCTTAGGCACGAAGGCAGGGAGGCAAGAGTCAACACATACTTACTTGCTCATTTCCATAGGCCAATTGATTCTCTTAAAGTCCTATGTAACAGGGTTTCCATCTATTCCAACAATCAGGTTGAATGTCAGGATTGAATCAAGCCACAAACCCTAATCAAAAGCTGATCACATGGATTTGCTAAGCCCCTTATAAAGCCAAATATACCTTAGTGAACCATCAGCCTACTTGCTAAAATATGTAACAAGCTTATACTCCCTTTGAACCTACTGACTGGGTGAGAAGCCCTCATTCTACAGCCACCCACTCAATGAGCTCCTGCTCACCAGTGCCTTCCCAGTACCTTGACTATGCCTAGCATACAACACACGATTCAGATATTCACCAAATGCAAGAATGAATGAAGGAGGAAGTCTACTGCATAGCAGCATATCTGGTTCTGTTTGCCATGTAGAACAGAACTTATTTCACAGAGCAAGCCGTAGGAAGGAAAGCTCATGAGCTATTTACTGCCAAGCAAGATTTTGAACCCCCTCCCCCATTGCGGTCGAAGCCAGAGAACTGAGCTGTTGTTCCGTGAGTATGAACTGCTGGTCTCTCCAGAAAGGCTCTGCTAGGCTTTGGGACTCCATTATAAAGACTTACATTAAAGCTTCAATCATTGGGGGGTGAGGTGCTATGTACAAGCTAATATCTAATGAATAAAAGAACACCAGCAAGAAAGTTCTTTGTAATTCTCTGTTAGCATGAACCATCTACTCCCAGTTTGGGCCAGAAATCTTCCTTGGTCACTAAAATGCCTGTAACAAAACCATAGCCTGTACATTCACAGAACAGAGACTGAGTACTATCATCCCTGGACTCCCAGCCCTGAGGGTCGGACCAGCACATGGACTGGAAAAGGAGTGTCTATTTAAAAGAGGAAGCAAGGGCCTGCCGAGAAAATGCCTGCATATTATCTGGGCCAGGTTAGATTTAGTTACATCCTCTTTGATGTACCAAACGACACTGACGCTCCACATCTTCCCAGGTGTAGATCCTGCATGATGCACACAGCACACTTCTCTCCTAAACCAACATGGCTCCATCCTTAGGCACGAAGGCAGGGAGGCAAGAGTCAACACATACTTACTTGCTCATTTCCATAGGCCAATTGATTCTCTTAAAGTCCTATGTAACAGGGTTTCCATCTATTCCAACAATCAGGTTGAATGTCAGGATTGAATCAAGCCACAAACCCTAATCAAAAGCTGATCACATGGATTTGCTAAGCCCCTTATAAAGCCAAATATACCTTAGTGAACCATCAGCCTACTTGCTAAAATATGTAACAAGCTTATACTCCCTTTGAACCTACTGACTGGGTGAGAAGCCCTCATTCTACAGCCACCCACTCAATGAGCTCCTGCTCACCAGTGCCTTCCCAGTACCTTGACTATGCCTAGCATACAACACACGATTCAGATATTCACCAAATGCAAGAATGAATGAAGGAGGAAGTCTACTGCATAGCAGCATATCTGGTTCTGTTTGCCATGTAGAACAGAACTTATTTCACAGAGCAAGCCGTAGGAAGGAAAGCTCATGAGCTATTTACTGCCAAGCAAGATTTTGAACCCCCTCCCCCATTGCGGTCGAAGCCAGAGAACTGAGCTGTTGTTCCGTGAGTATGAACTGCTGGTCTCTCCAGAAAGGCTCTGCTAGGCTTTGGGACTCCATTATAAAGACTTACATTAAAGCTTCAATCATTGGGGGGTGAGGTGCTATGTACAAGCTAATATCTAATGAATAAAAGAACACCAGCAAGAAAGTTCTTTGTAATTCTCTGTTAGCATGAACCATCTACTCCCAGTTTGGGCCAGAAATCTTCCTTGGTCACTAAAATGCCTGTAACAAAACCATAGCCTGTACATTCACAGAACAGAGACTGAGTACTATCATCCCTGGACTCCCAGCCCTGAGGGTCGGACCAGCACATGGTGGACACTCAACAGATATTTCCTTGTAGTAAAATAGTGTGAAAGGATAAACCAATTCCTCACCCAGGGGACCAGTCAGTGCTACAAGAACAGACTCACAGACCCAAGGAACTCCTGGGAGCCTGTGCTGAAGAAGAAACCAAAACATACAGACCAAGGGCCAGTAAGTGGTGTGGAGGTTAAGGTGCCCAATTCAACATAGTCAATTGTGCAGTGTGAGCCCCAGATCCAGCAGCTTGAAAATCATGCCAGGCGCATGTGAACACATGTCCAAAATCTCTAGAGGAGAGTGGAAGAGAAGGGACTGCGGCATGGCCATCTCCCCGGGGGGTGATTTCTCACTTTCTCTCTCTCACTCTCTGGTGATCACACATGTCCTGTTGCTTTTACTCTTTGAAAATAAGATCAATTTCATTTTTAAATGTTTTGAAGTTCAACTGTTTTTAAAACTGTCTTCAACGTAGAAGGGTGTCATACAGTCTACTAGATCTACTCTCAATGGTCGCAACTCCCAAATAATGATGTACACTTTATGAGTGCTTGCTAAGGTTATTTGACTTGACATTCGACTTTTCAGCAGCAGTATGTTCAGAATGTCAGATGCACAGAGGTCAATTAATAGTGTTGGTAAGACATGTTTTTTCTATTAGAGCTTTTTGCTATAGGGTGCTTGTGCTTGCCAGAAAGACAGACAGAATGTGAGAAATCACCCCCTGGAGGGGATGGCCACGCCGCAGTTCCTTCTCTTCCATTCTTCTCTCAGGATCTTGGGCACGCACGCATATGTGCCCAGCATGAGTTCATGCCACTGGATCCGGAACTTGGACCGCGATTGACTACATGGGAGTCCAGCGACTCAGCCATTACGCTAACTGCTGGTCCCGGTAAGACACATTTTACAACACTAAGACAGGCCAAGAAATTGTAAAAGACTGGAAATAATACACATCCTACTGGGTAGCTTTAGAGCAATGGTTCTCAACAAAGAACAATTTTGTCCCTGCCCTCAGGTAACATCCACTATTGTCTAGAGACATTCTAGGTTGACATAGGAAGGGCAGTGCTCCAGGCATCTAATGGGTAGAGGCTGGGAAGCTGCTCAGCCCCCCCCTGT